TTTACTACCCTTAGGATCTCCAACAATCATAACCATCTTCCACTGTGTTAGGTATGTCTCCAACCAGATGCCCATGGTTTCTGGTTAGGCTGAAGTTCCTTGCTGCCGCATTCGGTCAAATGTTGCCTTTATATCATGGCCAGTTGCCCTCCCTTTTCCTCTGCAGTTGAGCAGTTTTATCCATGTTTGGACCCACGCTGCAACAGGCAGAGGGTGCTGGATCAAGGTTGCTTTTGTGACTGGAAGTCTGCGTCAGTGTTGTACCACAGGGTTTGGTGCTGGGTCCTTTGCTATGTTCACTAATGTAGGATGTTAGATCAGTAATCTTGTACATGGCACAAAAATTGGTGCATGGTAAACAGTGATAAGGAAAGCTTCAGATGATACATATGGATTGTTTAGATGGTCAGAACAGTGGAGTTTAGTCTTAAAAATGAAGAAAAAATTGGGAGAACTAACAAGGCAGGGGAGTACAGTGAACGGTAGAGCCATGGAAGTACTGAGGATCAGAAGTGCCTTGCGTGCATGTCCATTGATCCTTTCTCACATAGAGAATAGTGTGTGGAAGTCACTGGTTGAAAGGGTGGAAGATACAGAAACCATCAGAACATTTAAGAAGTATTTAGATAAAAGACTTGAAATGCCGTAGCATCAAAACTACAAGTCAAGTGCTGGAAACTGGGACTGGAGTGAGTGTTTGTTGATCAGCATAAACACAATTGGTGAAAGGACCTGTTTTCTATGTGTATGATAATAAGGCTATGTCTCTTCTTTGGAACTAGAGGAAAGTAAGTAAATCTGGAGATGGGTGTGTGAGCAAGAGAGTGCGTGCGTGCAGGCTGGATGGGTTTTCTGCCAGACTGGCTCCCACATAAGCATGGTCATCTGGTCAGGCAACTGTCCCTTAGTTCAGAATCCATCGGCTCCCTGGTGCTTGCTTTTGCTTTCACTATTTCAGGAAAACACAACATTGTATACAACTGTCAAAAAGAATTCGATCAGTTTTTTTTTAGATGTGATCTAATTTTGAGTCATATTTAACTCAACGCTAACTTTGCTTTTCTCTCCCCGGATGCTGCCTGAGCTGCTGAGTTTCTCCGGTACTTTGTTTTTATTTTAGATCTCCAGAGTCCACTGTACTTTGCTTCTATTGTGCTTTTCTTCCCTCTGGCCATATCCTTAATGATGACAGTTAAGCACTATAGTGTGAGGGACAGTTTCTAGTTTGCAGCATCTGAACTTTAAGTATGCTGTCAGAAACATGAATGGTGAAGGATCCTAGCATGCAGTTTCTGAAGTACGTGTGCATCAGGAATGGAGTAGGTCATTCAATGTCTTGAGCCTGCTCAATCATTCAATAAGATGATGTCTGATCTGACTGTAACCTCAAATCCGTATTCTTGCCTGCTGCGATAACTGTTCAATACCTTGCTTAACAAGAATCTATGTATCACTGGCTTAAAATCATTCAAGGACGTTCTTCTACCAACTTTTCAGGGAAAGTTCCAAAAAGCCACAATCTTCTGAGACAAATTTTATCTCCTCTGTTTTAAATGTGTGACCCCCTACCTTTTAAGGTGACCCCTAGTGCTAGATTCTCTAATAATATCTTCTCCAGATCTGCTCTGTCAAGATCTCTCTAAGGATTTGAATGTTTCGATGAAATTGCCTCTTATTCTCCAGCGGATTTGAGTATTCCTCATAAGGAAAAACATGAGAGTGTGGTTGTACAGACGAAGTGAAGAGCACAAGATTCAGTGAGAAAAGTCTCTGAGCCATTTTGGACCAGACGGTGCTAATTTCCCTCAATTAATTGCAAATGGGAAAAACCCTGCCCAATGATGACTGCTTACGATATTTTAATATACATAATATACATATGATTTGAATCTACTGATGATACTCTGTCAGAACTGTGTTTAATGCCTGCAGACTTGGAATTTACAATGATTTGAATAATTGATATTCATGATGTTATGCTCAGTATCAAGTAATACATTGTTAATTGCAATCCAAACGCTAAACTATTAAATTGTACAATCTTGGGGTCAAGTGGGATTGGCTCGATTGATTTCATTTTTAAATTATGAACTTATAAGACATAGGAACGGACATTAGGCATTCGGCCCATCAAATCTGCTCCGCCATTCAATCATGGCTAATAAGTTCCTCAACCCCATTCTCCTGCTTTCTCCCTGTAACCCTTGATAATCAAGAACCTATCTATCTCCGTCTTAAATGGACTCAATGACCTGGCCTCCACGGTCTTCTGTGGCAGTGAATTCCATAGATTCACCACTCTATGGCTGAAGAAGTTTTTCCTTGTCTCCGTTCTAAAAGGTCTTCCCATTACTCTAAGTTTGTGCTGTCGGGTCCTAGCCTTTTCTACCAATGGAAGCATCTTTCCAACATCCACTCTACCCAGGCCATTTGGTATTCTGTAAGTTTCAATTAGATCCCCCCTCATCCTTCTAAACTCCAATGAATATAGTCCCAGAGTCCTCAAATGTTCCTCATATATGTTAAAATTCTTATTCCTGGGACCATTCTCGTGAACCTCCTCTGAACCTGCTCCAGGGCCAGTACATCCTTCCTGAGATATGAGGCCCAAAACTGCACACAGTACTCCAAATGTGGCCTGACCAGGGCCTTATAAAGCCTCAGTAGTACGTCCCTGCTTTTACATTCAAGTCCTTTCAAAATAAATGCCAGCATTGCATTTGCCTTCCTGACTACTGACTCAACCTGCAAGTTTACCTTGAGAGAATCCTGGACTAGAACTCCCAAGTCTCTTTGCACTTCAGACTTCTGAATTTTCTCCCCATTTAGAAAATAGTCCATGCTTTTATTCTTCTTACCAAAGTGCATGACCTCACACTTTCCCACGTTGTACTCCATCTGCCACTTCTTTGCCCACTCTTCTAACCTGTCCAAATCCTTCTGCAGCCTCCCCTTCTCCTCAATACTACTTGTCCCTCCACTTATCTTTGTATCATCTGCAAACTTAGCCAGAATGCCCACAATTCCTTCATCTAGATCATTAATGTATAAAGTGAAAAGTTGTAGTCCCAACACTGACCCTTGGAGAACACCACTTGTCCCCCGATACCATCCTGAGAAAGGCCCTTTTATCCCCTCTCTCTGCTTTCTGCCAGACAGCCAATCTTCTATCTATGCTAGCACTTTGCCTGTAACACCGTGGGCCCTTATCTTACTCAGCAGCCTCCTGTGTGGCACCTTGTCAAAGGCCTTCTTGACGTCCAGATAGATAACATCCATTGGCTCTCCTTGGTCTACCCTGCTTGTTATTTCTTCAAAGAATTCTAGTAGATTTGTCAGGGATGACCTCCCCTTGATGAAACCATGCTGACTTTGCCCTATTTTACCATACAGTTCCAAATATTCAGAAATCTCATCCTTCATAATGGATTCCAAAATCGTACCAAGGTTAGGCTAATCGGCCTGTAATTTTCCGTCTTTTGCCTTACTCCCTTTTTAAACAGGGGTGTCACGTTAGCGATTTTCCAGTCCTCTGGGACTCTCCCTGACTCTAGCGATTCCTGAAAGATCACCGCTAACACTTCCACTATCTCTTCAGTTATCTCCTTTAGAACTCTGGGGTGTAGTCCATCTGGTCCAGGTGATTTATCCACCTTCAGGCCAATCAGTTTTCCTAGCACCTTTTCTGTGGTGATGGCCACCGTATTCAGCTCTGTCTCCTGACTCGAATTTTTGGGATATTACTTGTGTCTTCCGACGTGAAGAAATTATTCAGTTCCTCAGCTATTTCCTTGTTTCCCACTACTATGTCTCCAGTGTCATTTTCCAGTGGTTCAATGTCCACTTTTGCCCTTTATATATCTAAAGAAACTCTTAACAGTCTTCATTTATATCACTGGCTAGCTTACCCTCATATTTAATCTTCTCCCTCCTTGTTTTTTTTTTTGTTGCCCCTGTATTGGTCTTTGTAAGCTTCCCAATCCTCTGGTTTCCCACTGCCTTTCGCCACATTGTAGGCTTTCTTTTTTGCTTTTATGCTATCCCTGACTTCCTTAGTCAGCCATAGTTGCCTCATCCTCCCTGTACCATGCTGCTTTTTCCTAGGGATGAATTTTTGCTGCGTCTCCTGAATCACTCCCAGAAACTCCTGCCATTGCTGTTCCACTGTCTTTCCTGCTAGGCTCCTGCTTGGAACTTGTTTCTAGAAATGCAGTGAAGGTTATGCTGTTTGACCAGGTGCCTTGAATAACTTAGATAACTTTGTATTGTGGAATTTCATCATTTCAAAGTACCTCTGTTTAATACATAGGAATTGCAATGCTGTATGTATGATAAACGTATCAAATATTTAGATTATTCCTCAACACTTTTCAAAATTGACATGTATTCAGTCTGATAGAATTATGCGTTAAGCATAAGTGGAGAAAGATATAAGGCCATTGTAGTACAACTTAAGGAAAACTGGAAGACTTGGGTAGATATCTGAAGCAGCAGGATGCGTAGCTTGATGAAATGGCCATCCATGGGCCTCTTTACCATGGACATATAACCAGAGTCGGAAAGGTGACAGCCCCTCTACCCATCATTCTCCCCTCCACCAAGCTTACCAAGCTGGAGAGCATTAAATTCCTTTTCCTGATATAAGAAAGAGGAGTGTGACCATGTCTAGGTAAATGTCAATTGTTATATCTTTAAATATGGTGTTTTAGTATCCCATATGTATTCAACCTACACAGGAGAGATATTAAAAAAAGATATAATTGCAATTAACATATCTGAATTCTGCTGTCTCCATATTTTCAATGCATGTGGTGAATTCAGAGCAAGTAAGTATCTTTAAATATAATCTGAAAAGGGAGAAGGTGCAGGGTCACGAGAAAAGGGTATGGGAATGACTAGCAGAATTACTTGTTTGGAGATCTGGCACAGATGCCATTAGCTGAATGGCTACCTCCTGTGCTGTAACATTTCTGTAATTCTGTGACTTTGGTTTCTTATAGAAAACATCAGCAGTCATGGCAACATACCAGGAATTCATTCAACAAAACGAAGAGCGTGACGGTGTTCGGTTCAGCTGGAACGTGTGGCCATCCAGTCGACTTGAGGCTACGCGCATGGTGGTTCCTTTGGCTTGTCTCTTTACGCCTTTAAAAGAACGCCCAGATCTGCCGCCAATACAATATGAACCTGTTCTGTGCAGCAGAGCTACCTGTAGGGCTGTCCTTAATCCATTGTGGTACAGTATCTGGAATCTAATTGTTGATATATTTGTTTTAAACATTTATACATTAAATATTTATACATTTGTGTATTGAAAGCAATAAAGCAATGGAAATGATATTAGAATTGATTAATGTTTTGGAGTGGACCTCATTCCAAAAAAGAGTTGCACTGTCAGCCCCTACTAAGAGAAAATTGATCCAACAGTGAGCAAAATCATAACACTTTTTTCTAATATATTTTCAAAGGCATGCAATCTAGAAACCTGCAATTGTTATAAGGTACAATCATAATTTTGTGATTGAAATGACTCTTATAAGCCATGGAAGAGCTATATATTGAATGTTTATTACAGGCATCTAAACACCTTTTTAATTAGATCAATGCCCTTTGGCCAGTTTTTTTCACTTCATTTAATCATATTGTATGTGCATTTTATTTTCTCCTGGATGTGCAGTATTATTTATTTCAAGGTTCTTGTGCCTTTACAACTGTTTAGGCCATTTTGTAATAATTAAACTACTTGCACAAAAGTCACATCAAAGTACATTTTGCAGCATTTTCCAATAAAATGCAGTTTTGGTTAATGGCTCAGGAGTATGCAGCAATTTGCCTTCTATTGAATTTGACCACCCAGCATGTGAGTTCTATCTTGATATATCTTTGGAATAATCCTTGGAAAGTTGCAATTTATTTTACATTTTAAAATCAAAACTATTGATAGATATTCAAAATCATTTATTCTGCAAATTGTCATTTGATACTCCAATTCTGCACTATCTTTGAAAGAAACTTTTTTTTGTTAAAGTTTTCTTCTTGTCCTCGTCAGGACAATTTACAAGAAATACAAAAGAAAAGAAAAACAACATTTATTCTATGTGAGAGGAAAGAGCTGATTGTTGGCAAGTAGACTCTGATAGAAGCATTGCCATGGCGAAGGTACCGGTTAATGATGACTGACAACTGCCAAGCTTTGTTTAAATTTTAAATCTGGTGTGTGGGTATCACCCTGAAGAATGAACCAGAGAATGGCTGTCACCTATTCTGTTGCTTTGAAATACTTGCAGTGTGTATATATGTTCTTTCCATCTACAAAGAACAGGGCCCTGTGTATTAATCTATGTAGCTTCCTGTATATGCAAATATACCAACTGTGACCACCAACTGATGATCACAAATTATTTCTGAGCACACTTAGGATTATTTAGTATATGTTGTCTAATTGCAGGTTTGCATCTGGAAAAGGTGCCATTTGGACTTTGTTGTTAGTGTTGTAAATGCAGGCTGGTTGAGTATGATCTGAACCTGTTCTGTTATGGACAACCAAAATACTTGCTGTTTGATGAGACCTGCCAGTTTTTGGAATGTATGGCCTTTTCAGCAATCTTTTCTACCACTTAAAGCATGAGATTACACGATTGTGGTGTTTTATTGGATACTGAATTGAAACCCTGCAGCTTGAAGCAAATTGATTATATTCAGCTTCCTTGCACTGTCAGCTGTTTAAAGCCCTCATTTTGTCTGTTTCAGCCAGGTAAACTGCATTTGAATGATCAGGAATGTTTTTGCCTACGTCTTCTGATTTGGATTGGTGTGCTACTAACGTATTACGTACAATGTCTTAAAAATAATCAATAATATTTTAACTGCCTTGAAAATGTAATAACCAGAGGCTTTACTTTGAAAGTGGGGAATGTAGTTTGAGGTTTTAACAAAAACTAAGTCACTTTTTTTACTCTTAATATTACAAGTTCAGTAGTCTCTGCAGCAGAGATGCCAAGTGTAGATGAGAGAGTTGTCTCTTGCAACTATTCACAGACTGATCAGACTAGACTTGATTGGCAAGAGAAAGATTAAAAAATTCTAAATATTCTTTTTATTTTAAATCAAACCATCAATTACAAGCAATTCCCATGTGGTGTAGCTTGGTGTATTTTATCCGACTAGTACAATGCCTAACTTCACAAGTTTTGAGTTTTTGTAGATGGACAGAATTGAATGATATGATGCATGTCCCATCTCAAATATGCTCAAAGCAAATATCTATTTTTATTTGCATAATGAAAAGTAAAGTTGTCATTTTTCAAAGTAACAATGACTTGATTTTTCTTATTTTAAAACAGTCAAGTGGACTACAGAGCAAAACTATGGGCATGCAATTTTTGTTTTCAGAGAAACCAGGTAAGGCTTGAAGAATTTTAACCACCTAGTGTGTGAGTTGTCAAAATAAAAGATAAGAGTTGACTAGGAAGAAATTTTTTTTTTTTAAAAAAAACTGAACTCTTGTTCCAGCCCTAAGTTCTGTTATTCATTTAAATGTTCCACACTTAGAATCCACGGAATACAGTGGATATTTGAAGGACCGGATGTTACAGGTTTCTATCGTTTGAAGTTTAGAAAGATGAGAGATGACCTTATTGAAAGAAAAGATCCTGAGGAGATTTAATAGGGTGGATTCTGAGGGGATGTTTTCCTTTATAGGAGAAACTAGAACTAGGGTACTCAGTTTAAGAAGAAGAGGTGAGATAAGATTATTTTTCTCTTAAAGAGAAAACAGTGGAGATTAGGTCATTGAGTTAACTGAAGTTGAGCCCACTCCTCCACTGAGTGAGATCACGACTGATCTAATCTTAATCTCAACTCAAACATCACAACTCCCTCCAATAGTCTTTCACCCCTTTGTTTATCAAGAATCTGCCTATCTCTGCCTTTAAAAATATTCAAAGATTCTGCCTCCACCACCTTTTGAGGACAAGTTCCAAAGATACTGAAGCCACTAGGAGAAAAATTTGCCTGATCCCTGTCTTAAATGGGCGACCCCTAATTTTGAACCAGTGACCTCCTAGTATTAGATTCTCCCACGAGAGGAAACCTTTCTTTCCACATCTATACTATCAAGTACCTCAGGAATTTGAATATTTCAATCAATCTTCTAAATTCCAATGGATACAAGCCTGGCGTATCTAGCCTTTCATCATAAGACATCTCATTCATTCCCATGAAGACATTCTAGTAAGCCTTCTCTGAAGTACCTCCATTGAATTTCTGTCCTTCCTTAATTAAGGGGACTGATACCGTAACAGTACTCCAGATGTTGTCTCAGCAATTCCCTACGTAATTGTGCACTTTTGTGTTCAATTCCCTTTGCAGTAAACAATAACATTCCATCAGCGCTCCTGTATGGTCATACTAACCTTTTGAGCACTCGGACATCCAGATTTCTCTGAATCTCAGCACTCTGCAATCTCTCTCCATACATAAACATACTTTTTTATTGTTCTCGCCAAATAGTCAATTTCACATTTTCCTACATTATATTTCATTT